AAAAGTGATGACAAATATAGTTTAAACTGATGAATATAGTGAGAAAATGTAGGGTAATAAGTTAAGAGATGGTGTTATAAGAAAAAATAATAAGAGATGGGTAAAGGTACACTAGTTAAAAAATACCAATGGAATAATACTAAAAAGTTGTACTTTTTTATGTTTTGACTTAAAACATGTTTAATATAGATAAAGGGAGAGGGATAAAGGGAATAAAAGTGTATATTTAATGATTGAAAGAAGTGCAAGGAGTATCTAAAAAAGAATAGTACGATGAAAGGATAATGTGAAAAAGAATAATAATAAATAAATTATTAATATAGAGAAAAAGTAATGTAAATATAGGCACATATATAGGTAAGTATAATGATAAAATATGTGAAGATAAACTAAGAGATGACATAGGAACAAAAATTAATGAAACAGAGAGCAAAGGTAAATGAAAAAGTGCTAAGAAAATATTGCTAATGAGTTATACTCCTAATGTTTTGATTTAAAAACTTCTAATATGGCATTTAGTGAAACATCCCCCTTTTGATAAACCTTTTAGGGAAATGTACTGCACAAGATAAAAAAATATATATATATTTATAGAAAAAGATTGCAGCGGAAGTACCAATGGTAAAAAAACCTTGACCCCTTTGATTTATGTCGTAATAAGAACCAAAGGTAAAGAAAACCTTGATCTGTTGTCTATGACGCAACAAAAACCAGAGGTATAAAGTTGGTTGGTGCCATACCTTGAACGATTAAGAACGAGAATGATAAGTTAGGTTAGAATGCCACAAGAATAATCTTGGTAAGTTTTGTAAAGTTCTTAAACAAACCAAAGAGAAAAATCTCTCAAAAACTCAAATTCAATAGCTCCTTCAATTAGGGTTACAAGCTTTTTAAATAGGGAAAAGTAATTCTAATCAGAATAGGAAACTAACACCCTAAACCCTAAGTCTTAATCCTAATAACCACGAATTGAACCTCAAATAAATGAATGTTCAACCCAAAATATACAAAAAAAGGTGAAAATCATTAAAAGTAACCTAAAGTAACATAAAATATCAGTTTGTTACAAATTGTAACAAAATTGCGAGATTTTGACGCAAACTATGTAATTTAGCATAAATGACCTCAATTAAGTTTCTCTTGAATCCGAATGATGTTTACCATGCCTTGATAATTATCCAAGTTTTGATTTACTTGTTGCATGTTGTTATCAACTCAGATTTGCTCAACAATACCATTTAAACCTTCTCGCATCTTCCTCGCTCTAGCTCTCGTGATTGGACCTCCTGGAATGTGTAATGTATCTCTTGACGTGGTACATGTGTGGTCATCTTAATTCCCATCAAATTCTATATAAATTTTTATATCAGATTTAATTAAAATAAAATATAAAATATAAAATAAAAATAAAATATAATATTTATACTCAAAATCTATAAAAAAAAAATACAAATCTAATGTAAAATTTTATATATACAAAATTAATTATAAATTTTATAATTAATAAAACTTAACTTGTACCATACAGACACAATTTAGATAAACACTATATATATATATATATGTATATGAATCCTCTCTTCAAATCCTCCGCCAAAGCAAAAAAGAACCGGTACGGTACAAAACAGGCGTAGTTGTAGTTCTATCCAAAATCCGAAAAGCCAGCTGTGTCTAGGAAAATTTAAATCATGGGGAAGAAGATAAGTCAAGCACCGGCCAAAATATCTAAGAGCAATATTGAAAAGAAGCAACGTGTTAACATTTTGATAAAGGTGTTGAGGCCAGTGGTCTACATCACAGGCAGCTCCAGCTTCAAAAAGCTTGTTCAAGAGCTTAGTGGCAATGGAGTCCCAGTTTCAGGCCAAAGATCTACGCCACAAATCATCGAACAAGTCATCCCGGTTATAGATTTTGAAAGCAGTATGGAAGCCTCCATTGATAATTCCTTCCAACTATGTAACTATTTACCCTGTGCAGATGAAGAGTCTCAAGCCTATGATCCACCTTTTCTCGAGCATTTCGATCACTTGGCATTGGAGTATCTGTCCATAAACCAACAGGAGGATTCATTAGTTTATGGGGATCTTGAGTCATGCTTCCAATTTGAGGTGGAGGGATATCCTCTGGTTCGGCAACGGAAGGTCAGCATATATGACCATGAGTTATCGGGACTAATATAAAACAACTTTATTTCGTGTACTCAGGATAGGTTTTTAGCAATGACTTTTTGAATCCGACGCAAGAAGTTGTTGCTAAAAAACTATTTTCTTGTGCAGGCGTGCAGCGTATATAATCGATCTTCTAAGTTCCATTGAAGTACAGAATATTCATGTGCAGCTGAGAATTTTTACTTTTTTCTGGTGGTGTAAATTTAATTTATTCTAATCTTTGTATAATATATAGAGAGCTTGGTTGATTATGCAATTTATCTATTGTCCGTGTATTGGGCTGTTTGTGCCCTTCTACACAATACGCAGATGGATAACAATCTATACAGTACACGTGTCTATAATATTTTCCAATACAATTATGTTTTGAATTACTGTAAGTTTTTTCTTTTTTCTTTTTTCTCTCTTTTTTTTTTTTTTTTTTTTTTTTTTTTTATGGAAAAGGAAATAAGTTCTTAGGATTCCTAAACGTAACAAACGAGTTTAACAAACAAACCAAAAAAAAAATGCTCTGAGGTTAAAACTAAATGGTAGAAGTGAAAAACATCTGTTGGAAGATCAGTTTGGCAAGAGCTCGAATAAGGCACAACAGATGACACACAGATATCGCAAAAAGCACCAACTAGACCCCACCATCCATAACATAATCCTGCCCATAGGTTGCTAGCTATTGAACAATGGAGAAAAAGATGGTTGACTGTTTCTACACCATCTAGTCCCACATAGTTCACAGACGGCCTATCTAAGATCAACTTTTTTTTTTTTTCTAATGAATCAAAAGTTATTAAAAGGAGCACAAGGGTACTAACCCTTACAAGAGAAAAGGGGATCTAAGATCAACTAATTAATATCCTGTTTTCATATTTGTTTGTTCAATCCAGTTTTCACACAAGAAACCATACTTCGAGCTTGAGCTGTACATGTTATCTGTGATTCTATGTTATGTTTCGATTCAAGTTTAGTTGACTTAATTTTTTCTTGTTCAATAAAATAAGAATGCATTTAATATTTAAATTTTGCAATAATTAATTAATAAAATGTAAGATAAAAAAAGAAGATGATTATATAAGCAAAAAAAAAAAAAACTTGGTGTGATTGATTATATAAGACAATATCCCGGGAAGCGGGTGAGCACCAGTTGTTTGTTATGGTAATGGGGAAGTAAATAGCAAAAATCCCTTTGAAATTTCTTTAATGAGGTAGTTTTCTCCTAACCAGACACAGCCCAAGAAACATGTCTTAGGCCGAAAAAGCAACATTTTAGTTATTTTAAGGATATAAAGAAAATAACATGAACAGATCTTTTTTCCTAAGAATGCTATAGGGACTGATCTATTCCAAACTGATTGGTTCCCATAGGTTTTATTTTTTATTTTTTTTTAATTTAAAATTTTTTATTTTTATTTTAATCAAACTCTATATTTACAACTTATACAATAATTTTAGTCGTGGTCAACACTTTCATAAATTTTTATCTATAGTCAACACTCTCTACTTTTAAAATCCACTGTTACTCTCCATCAATTGAATGCCTATGTGGCACATTTTAAATGACGTGATAAACTTTACTTATACGGCAAAGTCTTTAGCCCATGGTGTTGACACCGACCGAGACAATATAGATACTTAACTTGTTATACCCTAAATTGAGTCCTATGAGAATTAGGATACGTGAAAATATCTTAAAAATAGTTCTATCAAGATTAGATAGGTTAAATCCCGTTAGAATTAGAATATCCAAACACCAATCAAATAGAGTTATATTCCTAAGATAACTTTATGTAAATATCCTATAAATATCTCAAGGATCAACTTAAGGAGAGAGATTATTTTCTCCACTTTCTCTCTATTGTAAACTTTCTTTCTTGGTTCCATACTATCTATTTTTTAGTATTAACATTTGGTGCCCACCGTGGGGCCGAGTTCTCGTTCCCCCACGAATACCACATGGCGAATTTGGGAAATAGAAGAGGAATGAGCACCTCTTCTTCATCAAGAGCAAATTCCAACGATAATGTTGGCAAATCTAAACCAGAAGCTCTGTCAATAGCATCATAGGTGTCAAGGCTTGCACAGGATATGGAGAAAACAAGGCAAAGCTTAAAGGTAATCGAAAAGGCCATAGTGCCCTTGATGAACATAGCAAACACTCCAACACAAAATTTGAGGAAACAGGAAAGAATGCAGAGGATTTCATCATCCAAAAACACAAGGGTAGAGGATTCAATGGGTGGAAAGAGTAATTATGATGATGGAAGCTACGCACCTTCAAGACCAACCGAGCCAACTACTATTCATAACTGCAACCATCCTCTGCTTTCACTGAGTACAAAATCCAAGAAAGAGACACGCAGACAAACACACAAACAAACAGAAGAAAAGGTCCACCACAAAATCATGGAGCAACCCTTGCAATAGCACCACCAAAGGATGAAAACATATATGGGGAGATAGATGCACTACATCAATATGTAACACAAATAGAAACCAATCGATAGAGGATTCAGTTGAGCAGGTGCAAGGATTTAGGATGGCAATAATGGTTCATGGAGCTTCTGATGCTTTGCTATGCAAATGATTTCCTACAACCTTCAAGAAAGCAGTGCAAGCTTGGACTCCTCGGAAGACCAATGATCACCAGCTAACAATAAAAAAATAGACAAATCATTAAGAGCCTAAATAGCAAGATTCCATAATGAAGCTGTGCAAATTGAAAAGCTAGACCCAAGCGTAGCAATGCATGCTTTGATGGATGGCTTAAAAGATTCAAGCCTCTATAGGTCTCTAAATAAATGGGAACCTACTAGCTTTAATGATTTATTAAGAAGAGCGGAAGTGTATATCAAAGTAGAGGAAAGATCTACAAGTAAAGAAGCACAAGAGAAAAAGCTATGAGGAAACCAAGCCTAGTGGAAGAAATCACATGTTGATTGTTGGAATTCCTAAAGTACCATTGTTTACATAACTCTACATTATTCAACAGAAAGCTATGCAGGAATGAATTAACAACTTACTATATAAGTTCCATATCTCTTTTACAATATTTAAATAATTATAAATTTATCAATTATGATCTTGAAAGCACTAACAATTTTCTCATGTCTCTAAAGTAATTAAGATAGCAAAATCTATATAGCTTGTTTTTACTCTGAACCTGCACAAGAGAATATCTTAAGATGATATAATGCGTAGGCGATCTATTACCACTAAGGAGTACATGTTTGCAGGACTTTCTAACTTAGAGTCACAATGCACCTAATAAATAGACATGCGTTTGCAAGAGGCGTATAAGCAAACATTTGCCAAACGCAAAAATGTACTAGATATCAAAATCTAGTAACTCAATTATGACTTGACTCAAATACCTATGCAGCATTATCATGATTGGATAGATAGAAAAGCAAGCACTTTGTTAAAAAAAGTGGAGAACACGACTACAACCATATATGAAAAAGCTATGTTATATTTAGCCATATCAAATGATGAAAACAATGCATCATTAGATTCTACATGCGGAAGGCAAGACAGATGTGATCCCAGCTAAGTAGATTTACTTTTCTAAATAATTTTCCAATTTGATCATGCAAGTTATTGTGTTTCTAAAGAAAACTAACCTTTCTCTTGAGAAACTTTTGGAAGAAGGCCACATAGGCCAAAAAGCTCCAAGCATAGGAATTCAATTACAAGATGCACAGGGCTAACAACGGTTATGAGATAGAAAGTCACAAAGCAATATGAGAGCACCAAAATGCATACAACACAAAGGAATATCAATCTTGTGTAACACTACCAATTGAGAAGGTCTATACCTCCACAAAGAAAACTTGGGAAACAGAGCTTTTAAGCCTAATCATCCCAATGGAACCTTAGTTCCAAAAAACGTTGAACACCTTAAAAGCAAAGATTCATTTCACATTACTAAAAACCACTTTTAAGTAGAACACAGCTTTAAGAATAAGATCTTGGCTGTACACATCTTTGCTCACTTTTACGCAACATATCACTTCAGCATCACTTTTAAGTGATTCAAAGCCTTAAACACCAGATATGGTGAAAAGAATATGAATGTGCAAAACTATGGAGCTATTCTTAAAGCTCTGAAATCTAGATAAGGTTGGTTAACTCAAAATTCTAAGAAAAACTAACCAGAATATGCTTAAGCAAACTAAAAGATGCAGGCAAGTTTGGGTGTACATAAATACCCAGGCAAAAGTTCTGCAAGTGAAAGCTGCAAGCAAGTTTGGGTGTACATAAATACCTAGGCAAAAGCTGTGGATAAGTTTGGGTGTACATAAATACCTAGGCAAAAGCTACGCAAGTGAAAACTGCGAGCAAGTTAGGGTGTACATAAATACCCAGGAAAAGGCTACACAAACGAAAGCTACAAGCAAGTTTGGGTGTACAAAAATATCCAAGCAAAAGCTACGCAAACAAAAGTTGTAGGCAAGTTAGGGTGTACATAAATAGCTGGGCAAAAGCTATGCAAGCGAGGCTACAAAGGTTAATGCAAATCTCAAAATATAAGAGATTTTTTGCAACATAAACCAATAGCAATCCACTGGAGTACAAAGTTATGCCCAAACAAAGGACATGGCAAATGCTAACCAGTTATTAAAACGTGGGTCCTCATTGACGAATGAGGATACCTTCACCATAAAAAACTATAAAAACTCATAATATGGATAAAGAAGCAACACACAGTTTCCTAGAAAAATCCTGATATAGTTTCAGTGAAAGGTCACAATGCCAAGCATGACCAAAACTTGAGTTAGAAACAGAGCATTTGTTCATCAAGCAAATGTTCTTAAAACACCAAACCAATGCACTGCAACATAAGCACATAGATATATATATATATATATATATATAGAAGACCCAAATATAACAAAACAAAAAGCACTTGTAATAGATAAAGAAACATTAAAATAACACAACCTAAATGTTCTTCCAAAAATAAATGTTCTTCTATGCAAGTTCAACAAGAGGTTTGAAAAGCTAAAGAGGGTACCTTGAGAACCTCTGCATCAATAAAATTATTCCTACTATGAATGGTTGTAGTAGAATCCTCTACGTCCCAAAAGCTGCTCAATCTTTCCTTTACTTCAACTAGAGATATACCCAGAGAAACATACGATGGACCTTAATCATAAACTTTCTTCAACTTTGGATCAGCTTAAACCTCCACAGCAACATCAATGCTCTTAAATTCAGCAAGGTCTAAATGATAGAATAAGCAAAAGCCTGTA